GGGCAACACTGCAGATACTGCTGGGGTCAAACCTTCACCCTCACCACCTGAGGAAACAGCAAGCAAACTGGGTGGGTTGTATAGACGCTTTAAAAAACATGCTGGTACACAATGTATCTCATAATACATGCACCTTTTAACCTCCTGAGACCCATCAATTAATTTTTGTCCTCTGTGGGGGGCATGCTTCTCAGCCCTATATTTTAAACATTACACTTGCAATCTATGTTGGTCCCACTGTGCTGTAAAGAGGACATCCTGGGCTTTCTACTGATGTCACATTTGTGGTCTTGTGGCTATCAGAGCACATGTAGGGGAGACCGGGGACAGTTGCAACACATTTTCCATTTGACTCTGTTACTCAGAGATGGTTTGAAATAGACAAACCAAATTTTATTACAACAAACTTACATCTGTCTGTTAATAGTCAAAACCATTTACAGATGATTAAACCATGTACATTCTTCACAATTACAATTCGCATTTGAATATGAAAAGTCAGATGTTACAACTGACCCCGGGGCCGGGGAATTTTGAGAGTAGTCTAAATTCTGTTGAGGTTCTGAGCCTGCAGATCACTAGTAGTGATATCATCACAGATCAAYTGATTTCAGTTGGATTTTTATAATTTTTTTTCTGCAGAATGAGTATACTGTTTGGTGAAAATAATGACTGATGTCATAATGTGGGGAATAGTTGATTGCCAATGAAATAAAGATGCAAATACTGGAAAAAAAGGTAAAAAAAAAAAAAGTCTATTTTTTGGTATTAAATTTAACCAAAATCATGTAGAAATGTGTTTTAAGAGTTATTTTGTCAATGTATTGTCAGCACATGTGTTCTGTGTATCTGGAATGTATTTATTGACAGCCTACACAACCCAGTTAGGATTTGAGTGAAAGAATCACCTCTCACATTTTTCTGATAAAACAATAAAGGGTGCATACATTAAAATGGCCACAAAATTTTTTCGCGATATTTCCAGCAGAGCAGACCCTCCAATTATTGTTACTTAGGGTCAAAATTAACAGAAAAATCACAAATAAAAAGTATGGCAGACCATGTCTGGTTCAACCCGTTTTATTGAGCTTTTGAGACTTTGGCTCCCCGACTGCATAACTGTCCGCCTGCAGACAGCAGCTGCCTCCTTTGTTTGTTATTGTTCGCTAAAGCAGGTCAACATTAAAACGTGTTAGAGCAGTCCCGCCTGAATTTCACCAACACCGCTATAATTCACCATAAATATGGGTTTCCTTGATAAAGCAACTTTGTTGTAAAGCAGCTTTCATGTCGAGCAGGACACACACACACTTTCTCTCAGCCGTTTGATTTGTGTCTGTTCAATACAAACAGGTTTTATGAGAGCAGTGTGTGTGTGTGTGTGTGTGTGTGTGTGTGTGTGTGTGTGTGTGTGTGTGTGTGTGTG